ACAAAAACAAAAATTTGGTGTTTTTTTTTAAAAGAGTCTAATGCAATAAATCACTTATATATTCTATCTTCATTCAAAAAGTTCTTACACATAAAATCTGCAGATTTAAGTAAAGAACTACACAAATTGTGTATTGCTATTTTATGATTTCTACATTCAAATAAAGTCTTACACATTAATTGCCATTCTGTCTCAAAATTTGAAGATTTAAGCACAAGAAACTAGACCGTCTGTGTATTGCTATTTTACAATCCAAGACAGAGGTATACAGTTAATCTACCTTAATGCATTTACTATCACTCAAGGTAGATATTTAAAAAAAGTCCAAAACAAACAATGAACAGATTCATAAAAATGTAAAACATTTATATGGATTTTAGACTAGACACCATAAAATTAAACCAGGAGCCTCGGTGGCCAATTGGTCTAAGTAGTTAGTACTGTTATCAGTAGCCTGTCAACACTGAGGTTGTGAGTTCCAACCCCGCTCGTGCGGGTGTACAACTCCAATCTTAATTGACTAGGATTGTCAATTTTCCTATCGAAGGTCGTGGTTTTCTCCGGGCACTCCGGCTTCCTCCACCAATAAAAACTGGCCGCCACTTAAATAGACCAAAAGCGGTGCTTAAAAGTGGCGTTAAAACACCAAAAATCAATCAATCAAATTAAATCTTGAGATGTCCTCTGAAGTCTACAGATGTTCATTTCACATGATGTAAACATAAATATAAAAAAAAAATAAGACAGACAGACAAAGAACAAACAATCATATATGACGATTTGTCTTAGTCGGTTTGATTTAAAGTCAAATATAAAAAAAATCGTAAGGGGTTCTGCAGGACCCAGTGTGTCACTTAATATTGCTGCTGTCAGTGTAAAAGTGTAATATTGACTTTAAAAAGCAAGTCCATTTATCAGTAAAATACAGAAATTAAAAAAAATCAAACTTTTTCTTTAGATGCTATTTCTTAGTATTGACAATGAATTAATTAATTAGCTTCTGTCCAAGTTTCATAACAAATTCCATGAAGGTTTACAAATTTATCATATCAAAAAAATTTAATCCCAGACTGTCTGTAAATGTTAACTGTAAAAAAACAAAGTCTATCCATCAGAAAAATACTGAAAATGAAAAAAAAAAATGTGTTTGTGTGAATTTTTCAAAAGTTTGCTTCAGACATTATCTCTTAATAAAAAAAAAGCTTCTGCCAAAGTTTTATAAAATTCTATGAAGCTTTAACAAAGTAATTGACATGTAACAAATCTTAACCCCAGACTATCAACTTGGTAACTGTAAAAAAAGGCACTCAGAATACTGTATTTTGGTCATAAACAATTAAGCTTCTGTCCAAATTTCATAAAATTCCAAGAAGGGTTCACAAAGTTATTAATGTCTAAATAAAACTTTCACCATAAACTGAACCAAAATGTTGATGCCGTCGAGGTCTACATCTCTCGCTTTCTTTATGTCGCAGGCAAAACAGAAATATGTAAATCATTGTTTTCCCTATATAAGAAACCGTTTCTGTGGGCCAAATCAGTTAAAGAAAACCAATTTTATTTGCTAATTGAAAATTAAGCTGAATAAAATGATTTAAGACAGCAGAGAGGATAATTCTGTTTTAATTGTTTATTACTAAGACTTAAATAAAGAGAGCTATTTATACTGTAAATTTATGATGTCTCTAGTCTTGAACTGTTCAAAGAGTCAGAGTGTCCTACTTAATCAAACGATAAATTGTTTAATTAGATAACATGTTTTCACGTGCAGAGAAATTTCACTTATGACCAGTGCATGATTGGATTACATCGATTGTTTTCCTCTTATAGTTGATATGTTTCCCTCCGTATTAGTTTGTTACCCAGATTTGTTAATTTTTCTCTCAATCGATTTATGACTTTTGAACTTTTATACTGTTGTTATCTTTATTCATTTTGGTCTCTTGTGGAGAGTTGTCTCATTGGCAATCATACCATATGTTCTTGTAATTATGTTTACAACTTTTATCATTAAGAACCCTTGGTTCAGTGATATCCTTTAAAAACAGCAAACATACATTTTATTAAGGAAAAATGTCGTACAGCACATGCAAAGAGTGGAATAATCAACATGGTGATACAAAATCCATATATATAAGTATACCTGGATTCATGCTACATAGTAATAGAAGGTTCACAATCAGAAAAAAGAAGTCTCCTTTGTTGTAATTTTTTATAGTTCCCAACTGACCTCACCAACAACCCCCAGGCTAAGGTCAAGATATGAGCCAGTTCCTGTATCGGATGCTCCTTATAACTAGCTATGTAGGAATTACAGAAGGATCGAATCAATAATGTCAACAAACTTTGAAAAAAGAAAAACCTTAATTGGGAAATGTGAAGTAAAAGTACAATGCAAGTTCCTCTGTCTTCCCCAAGAAGATCCTGAATCAAGTCTACTTCATATGTAAAAATGAACGATAGGGTGGATATCTAAAACCAGCAACATACTTGTCCCAATGGCAATCATACCACATCTGATGTTTATATGTAAATGTGATTTGAATATGAAATATTAGGTCATTGCTCCATTGTTAAAGACCCTGTATCAATCTCTGTCATTTGGTCTTGATGAAGAGTTTGTCTATTGGCAATCATATCACATCTCCATATTTTTATTCTAGAACAGCATTTTATTGTTGAAGACAGTATGTTAACCTAGTTATTATGTGTCTTGGCCATATTTTGTTGTTGGTAAGTAAATGCTGTCTCATTGACATTAATTATCCCACATATCCTTTTATTAACATATGCTGAGTCATTTTTAGAACAATTACTATAGATAAAATAAAGACTCCTTAAGAAAAAGATCTAGTTTTTCTTCAAAGCCAACTTGTCTTTGCTCTTTCTCTTTAGGTTTTTTTGGGTAGTGAAGGAATATAGCAATACCAGTTTTGAAGTCTCTTCCTTTGACTCAGCTGGGGCGGGGAATAAAGGATTATTGAGATTGCTACAGGGGGATGACCAAGACTAGAACAGGAGCATACTGTGAACCAACTCATTTTTCGGACAATTTATTTAATAGACTTCAAAGAAAAGAAGAAAGCCGAATATAAATCACGAGAATTTCAAAATAGAATTGTCTGTTGTAAGAAATAACCCGAAAAATTAGATAATCACGAAACATATCCATGTGAAATATGCTAAAAATGGCTATATGGTCGTTAAGTCTTTTCATTTGAATTGTTTTACATTTGTGATTTCTGGGCCTTTTATAGCTGACTATGTGGTTTGGGCTTAGCTCATCGTTGAGGGCCGTACAGTTATCTATAGCTGTTAATTTCTGTGTCATTTAGTCTCTTGTGGAGAGTCGTCTCATTGGCAATCATACCACATCTTCTTTTTTTATATACAAGCAGCAAAAATCCTATGTGAAATATGAGAGAAATGGCGATACGCTAAAAAAATATCAGCTGCGAAATATGATAGAAATGTCTATATGGTCGTTAGTTTTTTCGTTTGAATTGTTTTACATATGTGATTTCTGGGCATTTTAAAACTGACTATGTGGTTGGGGCTTTGCTCATCGTTGAGGGCCGAACAGTTACCTACAATGTATAGCTGTTAATTTCTGTGTCATTTATTCTCTTGTGGAGAGTTGTCTCATTGGCAATCATACCACATCTTCTTTTTTATATATACATGGAAAAATTCCTATGTGAAATATGATAGAAATGGCGATACGCGAAAAAAAAAATCAGCTGCGAAATATGAAAGAAATGTTGCTAGGCAAAAAAAAAAAAATCAGCTGTGAAATATAATAGGAATGGCGCAACACAAATAAAATGTCCATAAAATAAGTTGGTTTACAGTAGTTGGTTCCTATAGAAATGTCAACTGTGTTACAAAAATAGGACATTAAATTGGTGATAAACTGAGTTTAAAAGGATGGTGGTCATTTATCTGTTCCCCATTAAATTGAAATTTGAATATTATAATAATGGTCAATCGAAATGCAAAGAACAAATGTAAAAAAAAATTCTAAACATGAAATTCGGTCTGAATTTTACATTTCATCACCCCAAAGAGATTCCTTATTCAACTGTCCCATTCTGAATTTTAGGTATTAGGTACATATTCATCTGGAGTTATAATCATGTTAAGACTAAATTTATAGCACTTTTTCTTTTTTTGAAAGTTATTTACTAACGACAGCAAGTCTCAGCCCAATAAATTCTATTGTGCACACATACTTAATAAATACAAAGCAACCATATCCCTCCATCTGGTTAGTACCCCAAACCCTTATTAGAATGTCATACATCAATCTCTCTCTCCCTTGCGCCATCTATCACGCCACTAATACCTAACAACCTATTTAGGAAGTATCATGTTAGTAAACCCCCCAGGTTAGTGTTGATACTTCAAAAAATGAAAAGATTTTTAAATGAAGTACTAGACATGGAGGGATAAGTATAATTTTTTAAAGAAATTAAAATATTTCATAAACTTAAATGAATTGATGTTACAATTTTCAGAGTAGCCAACTGGTTAGTGGAATAATCTTCATTAAGATTGCCAGAGACCAAAACTTTGTGGAGCCAAAAACAAAGTTTTTCATGATCATTAAAAAGCCAACCAAAAGAGATAATATTTCATTATCTCATAATTAATAAACTGGAAATTTAGAGGAATAAAAAATAATTTAAATTTCTAAAAGCATTACTGCAGACCTTAATACTGATTCAGAATGAGAAAAAGGTTATAATTAATTAAATAATGAAATAATGTTGAAGAGGGAGAATTTTTTTCATCTGAAACTAGAGGCTCTCAAGAGCCTGTGTCGCTCACCTGACTCTACTTTGGTTTTAGAAATCATGTAAAGATAGATAAAAATCATAACAGATACCCAAATAATGATTGAGGCCAAATTTTGATTAATATTGGTCCCGTTATTTAATAAAATATCCTAGTGGCCATCTTGAACAGTAAATCGGCAACAAAGTAGCAACACTTTTCAGTGGTACTCTAAAAGAAGACATTTGTATGTATTTCCCATAGGGTCCTATGTTAAACTAAGCCCCCCCCCCCTAGCGGCCATCTTGGATATTGAATCGACTGCAAAGTAACAACACTTGGTCAGCAACTCATAAGGAACATTCATGCCATGTTTGGTTCAATTCCATTCAGTGGTTCTCTAAAAGAAGACAATTGTATGTATTTCCCATAGGGTCCTATGTTAAACTAAGTCCCCCACTGTCGGCCATCTTGGATGATGGATCGGCTGCAAAGTAACAACACTTGGTCAACATCTCATAAGGAACATTCATGCCATGTTTGGTTCCATTCCATTTATTGGTTCTCTAAAAGAAGACATTTGTATGTATTTCCCAAAGGGTCCTATGTAAAACTAAGTTCCCCGCTGGCGGCCATCTTGGATGATGGATCGGCTACAAAGTAACAACACTTGGTCAGCACCTCATAAGGAACATTCATGCCATGTTTGGTTTCATTCCATTCAGTGGTTCACTAAAAGAAGACATTTGTATGTATTTCCCATAGGTCCTTTGTTAAACTAAGTCCCCTGCTGTCGGCCATCTTGGATGATGGACCGACTGCAAAGTAACAACACTTGGTCAGCACCTCATAAGGAACATTCATGCCATGTTTGGTTTCATTCCATTCAGTGGTTCTCTAAAAGAAGACATTTGTATGTATTTCCCATAGGGTCCTATGTTAAACTAAGTCCCCCGCTGGCGGCCATCTTGGATGATGGATCGGCTACAAAGTAACAACACTTGGTCAGCACCTCATAAGGAACATTCATGTCATGTTTGGTTTCATTCCATTCAGTGGTTCTCTAAAAGAAGACATTTGTATGTATTTCCCATAGGGTCCTATGTTAAACTAAGTCCCCCGCTGGCGGCCATCTTGGATGATGGACTGACTGCAAAGTAACAACACTTGGTCAGCACCTCATAAGGAGCATTCATGCCATGTTTGGTTTTATTCCATTCAGTGGTTCTCTAAAAGAAGTCATTTGTATGCATTTCCCATAGGGTCCTATGTTAAACTAAGTCCCCCGCTGGCGGCCATCTTGGATGATGGATCGGCTACAAAGTAACAACACTTGGTGAGCACCTCATAAGTAACATTCATGCCATGTTTGGTGTCATTCCATTCAGTGGTTCTCTAAAAGAAGTCATTTGTATGCATTTCCCATAGGGTCCTATGTTAAACTAAGTCCCCCGCTGGCGGCCATCCTGGATGATGGATCGGCTACAAAGTAACAACACTTAGTCAGCACCTCATAAGGAACATTCATGCCATGTTTGGTTTCATTCCATTCAGTGGTTCTCTAGAAGAAGTTCAAAATGTAAAAAGTTAACGCCGACGACGGACGACGACGCCGGACGACGGACGCCAAGTGATGAGAAAAGCTCACTTGGCCCTTCGGGCCAGGTGAGCTAAAAAGGAAAAAATGGCATAAGAAAACTATTAAAAAATTTAAAAAAAGAACTAAACAAAACTAGAGGCTCTCAAGAGCCTGTGTCGCTCACCTGATTCTACTTTGGTTTTGGAAATCATAACGGATTCCCTTATGATGATTGAGGCCAAATTTGGTTTAATATTGGCCCCGTAATTAAATAAAAAATCTTGGGGTATGACTATTTCCCATAGGGTCTTATGTTAAACTAAGTCCCCTGCTGGCAGCCATCTTGAAGGATGGTTCGGCTACAAAGTAACAACACTTAGTCAGCACCTCATTAGGAACATTCATGCCATGTTTGGTTTCATTCTATTCAGTGGTTCTCTAGAAGAAAACATTTGTATGTATTTCCCATAGGGTCCTATGTTAAACTAAGTCCTCTCTGGCGGCCATCTTGGATGACTGATTGGCTTCAAAGTAACAACACTTGATCAACACCTCATAAGGAACATTCATGTCATGGTTTGTTTCATTAAGTGGTTCTCTAAAAGAAGACATTTGTATGTATTGTCCATTATGGTCCAATATTAAACGAAGTCCCCTGCTGGCGGCCATCTTAGAAGATGGATCGGCTTCCTTCAAAGTAACAACACTTGGTCAGCACTTCATAAGGAACATTCATGCCATGTTTAGTTTCATTTCATTCAGTGGTTCTCTAAAAGAAGACATTTGTATGTATTGTCCATAGGGTCCTTTGTTAAACTTCTTTGTTAAACTTAAGTCCCATGCTGGCGGCCATCTTGGAAGATAGATCGGCTTCAAAGTAACAACACTTGGTCAGCACCTCATAAGGAAAATTCATGCCATGTTTAGTTTCATTCCATTCAGTGGTTCTTTAAAAGAAGACATTTGTATGTATTGTCCATAGGGTCCTATGTTTAACTAAGTCCCACGCTGGCGGCCATCTTGGATGATGGATCAGCGAAAAAGTAACAACACTTGGTCAGTACCTCATAAGGAACAATCATGCCATGTTTGGTTTCATTCCATTCACTAGTTCTCTAGTAGAAGTTCAAAATGTAAAAAGTTAACGACGACGACGGACAACGACAACAGACGACTGACGCAAGTGATGAGAAAAGCTCACTTGGCCCAAATGGCCAGGTGAGCTAAAAATGTTGACATTGCTATGGGAACCCTGCCCCTTTTAAGACAGACTTCATACAGGCACTTATCAAGGATAAAAAGAATCAAGCATTATCCCTTAATTTCACATTCCACAATGTAGGCGATCTCTTTTAATATAGATAACTCAAAAATGGTTACACCTAACCCACTGAACCAGAAGAAGGATACAACAGATACGGCATACTGTGCTTCAAAACTTGCCGTCGCCCAGAAACTATCAGCAAGGACCAGCTGAGAGCTAATAATTTGACAAAAGAGACTTCAATTTCCTGATTGTGAACTTTTCTTATGTAGCAGCAATCCAATTATACCTGAAAATGAATTTCATGTCTCCTTGCTGATCATTCCACTCTTTGCATCTCATGCATGTAGGTATTTCCTTTAAAAAAACAGTTGCTGCTTATGTTTAAAAAGAAACTTCTTAAACAATGGTTGTTAATGATCAAGTTGATTGAAAGTCACTCTTTACATGATTTATTGATTACAAAAATTCTAGATGTGAAAAAAATAATCATTATACAGTCAAACCTGCCTTAAGGTCACCACCTTGTTTAAGAGGTCAACTATCTCTATGGTCTCTTGGTGACCCTCTCAAGCATTTTCTCTATATATTTAACTCATTTCAGTTGTCACCTGTCCTATGCGGTCACCTTATTTTTTGCACGAAATCATCATTTTACTGTTTTTAATTACAATTATAATCATGATGAAAAATATGTGTGTTCAGTATAAAAATCAAAATGAGAATCGGAACCCGTTTCACGGTTTGCAACATAGATCTTGCAATATGAAGTAAATTTGTGAATCCTTGTATTCCACTCCCTTCAATTAATACCATTGAAAAGCATTTCACAGACTTGTTTATCCAATTATATCAACACCTTTAAATCAATAAATGTCTTCGTCAAATTGACAGTGCAAGAGTCCACCCTTTAATATTTGTCTGCTCACACGAACGAAAGAACGAACAAACGAATGATAAATCTTCCAACTAAAACACTAAACCAAGTTGCATTCCCAGCCACAGAAACTCTTTTTAAAGGTCACTTTTCTCGAGCCGTCCCTTTTTGATACTTCCCATGAGTGACATGCTTAAAACAGGTTTGACTGTACAAGATCCTTAATACTTATATCCTTATATTCAAATTTTATAAAAACTCAAATCCAACAAATTTTCAGCAGTATCATATTCTTTTCTCCATCTTTTATTTTTTCATTTTTGTCGAGCCTTCGACTTTTGTCGAAAAAGGGAGACATAGCGATCCTACATTCCGTCGGCGTCGGCCACAAATATTCACTCTGTGGTTAAAGTTTTTGAAATTTTAATAACTTTCTTAAACTATCCTGGATTTCTACCAAACTAGGACAGAAGCTTGTTTATGAACATAAGATAGTATCCAGAAGTAAATTGTGTAAAAAAAAAATTCCATTTTTTCCGTAATTTACTTATAAATGGACTTAGTTTTTCTGCCAGGAAACATTACATTCACTCTGTGGATAAAGTTTTTAAAATTTTAATAACTTTCTTAAACTATCCTGGATTTGTACCAAACTTGGACAGAAGCTTGCATATGATCAATAGCTAGTATCTAGAAGGAAGTTTTGTCCCTGTTTTTCCGTATTTTATTTATAAATGGTTTTTCTTCCAGTTAACATTACATACAGTCTGCTGTTAAAAGTTTTTAAAACATTTATTAGATTCATAAACTATCCTGGATTTTTACTAAACTTGGACAGAAGCTTCTTACAATCAAAAGATAGTATCGAGAGGAATATTATAATTTTTTTTCCCTCATTTTTGTTGAGCCTGCAATTAACAGCAAAAATAGGCGAGACACTGGGTTCCGCGGAACCCTTACGAATTTTTCTTAAATATACAATGCAATGAGTCATCTGCAGACTTCCTTTCTGGGAGCATGTGTATTAAAAAATAAAGGAAATAGATCTTCACCCTTATAAAACATACTTTAAAAAATAAAGGTCTAATATAACAAATCTTATAACCAATTTCTTGGAACTCAAATTTAGAGAAACTCAAACCTCTATATCACACAGGTTTTCAGCAGTATCATATTTTTTTCTTCAGTTCTCCACCTTTTTTTTTTTTTTTTTTAACTTTTTTCATTTTTCTTAAATATACTGCCGCGCCAACAAAAGATGTGTAATATATAGGCTAGAGTTTTTTTCGGGAAATTCTAATATTTTGATATTTCAGCATAATTTTACCTAAATTTTGGTGGTTTCTTAAAAGGAATCTACTGAATAATTAGGGTTTTTAAAGATAAAGTTGAAAGTAAATTTTTCCCATGATTCATAAACTAAAATTCAGCATGTAGTTAAACTGCAATAAGTCATCTGCAGACTTCATTTCTGGGAGCATGTGTATTAAAAAATAAAAGAAATAGATCTTCACCCTTATAAAACATACTTTAAAAAATAAAGGTCTAATATAACAAATCTTATAACCAATTTCTATTAACTCAAATTTAGAGAAACTCAAACCTCTATTTCACACAGGTTTTCAGCAGTATCATATTTTTTTCTTCAGTTCTCTACATTTTTTTTTTTACTTTTTTCATTTTTCTTAAATATACTGCCGCGCCAACAAAAGATGTGTAATATATAGGCTAGAGTTTTTTTCTGGAAATTCTAATATTTTGATATTTCAGCATAATTTTACCTAAATTTTGGTGGTTTCTTAAAAAGAATCTACTGAATAATTAGGGTTTTTAAAGATAAAGTTGAAAATCAATTTTTCCCATTATTCATAAACTAAAATTCAGCATGTAGTTAAACTGCAATAAGTCATCTGCAGACTTCATTTCTGGGAGCATGTGTATTAAAAGATAAAAGAAATAGATCTTCACCTTTATAAAACATACTTTAAAAAATAAAGGTCTAATATAACAAATCTTATAACCAATTTCTTTGAACTCAAATTTAGAGAAACTCAAACCTCTATATCACACAGGTTTTCAGCAGTATCATTTTTTTCTTCAGTTCTCCAAATTTTTTTTATTACTTTTTTCATTTTTCTTAAATATACTGCCGCGCCAACAAAAGATGTGTAATATAAAGGCTCAAGTTTTTTGGGGAAATTCTAATATTTTGATATTTCAGCATAATTTTTTTTTACTTTTTTCATTTTTCTTAAATATACTGCCGCGCCAACAAAAGATATGAAATATAAAGGCTATTTATTCATGGGAAATTCTAAAATTTCATATTTTATCAAAATGTTTACCTTAATTGCAATGGCTATTTAAAAAGAATCTACTGAATAATTAGGGTTTTAAAAGATAAAAGTTGAAAGTCAATTTTTCCCATGATTCATAAACTAAAATTCAGCATGTATACGTAGTTAAACTGCAATAAGTCATCTGCAGATTTCATTTCTGGGAGCATGGGTATTAAAAAAATAAAGGAAATAGATCTTCACCCTTATAAAACATACTTTAAAAAATAAAGGTCTAATATAACAAATCTCATAACCAATTTCTTTGAACTCAAATTTAGAGAAACTCAAACTTCTATATCACACAGGTTTTCAGCAGTATCATATTTTTTTCTTCAGTTCTCCACATTTTTTTTTTTAAACTTTTTTCATTTTTCTTAAATATACTGCCGTGCCAACAAAAGATGTGTAATATAAAGCTATTTATTCATAAATTTCATATTTTATCAAAATTTTTACCTTAATTTCAATGGCTGTTAAAAAGAATCTACTGAATAATTAGGGTTTTAAAAGATAAAGTTGAAAGTTAATTTTTCCAATGATTCATAAACTAAAATTCAGCATGTAGTTTAAAACTGCAATAAGTCATCTGCAGACTTCATTTCTGGGAGCATGTGTATTAAAAAATAAAGGAAATAGATCTTCACCCTTATAAAACATACTTTAAAAAATAAAGGTCTAATATAACAAATCTTATAACCAATTTCTTTAAACTCAAATTTAGAGAAACTCAAACCTCTATATCACACAGGTTTTCAGCAGTATCATATTTTTTTCTTCAGTTCTCTACCATTTTTTTTTTACTTTTTTCATTTTTCTTAAATATACTGCCGCGCCAACAAAAGATGTGTAATATATAGGCTAGAGTTTTTTTCTGGAAATTCTAATATTTTGATATTTCAGCATAATTTTACCTAAATTTTGGTGGTTTCTTAAAAAGAATCTACTGAATAATTAGGGTTTTTAAAGATAAAGTTGAAAGTAAATTTTTCCCATGATTCATAAACTAAAATTCAGCATGTAGTTAAACTGCAATAAGTCATCTGCAGACTTCATTTCTGGGAGCATGTGTATTAAAAAATAAAAGAAATAGATCTTCACCCTTATAAAACATACTTTAAAAAATAAAGGTCTAATATAACAAATCTTATAACCAATTTCTATTAACTCAAATTTAGAGAAACTCAAACCTCTATATCACACAGGTTTTCAGCAGTATCATATTTTTTTCTTCAGTTCTCTACATTTTTTTTTTTACTTTTTTCCTTTTTCTTAAATATACTGCCGCGCCAACAAAAGATGTGTAATATATAGGCTAGAGTTTTTTTCGGGAAATTCTAATATTTTGATATTTCAGCATAATTTTACCTAAATTTTGGTGGTTTCTTAAAAAGAATCTACTGAATAATTAGGGTTTTTAAAGATAAAGTTGAAAATCAATTTTTCCCATTATTCATAAACTAAAATTCAGCATGTAGTTAAACTACAATAAGTCATCTGCAGACTTCATTTCTGGGAGCATGTGTATTAAAAGATAAAAGAAATAGATCTTCACCTTTATAAAACATACTTTAAAAAATAAAGGTCTAATATAACAAATCTTATAACCAATTTCTTTGAACTCAAATTTAGAGAAACTCAAACCTCTATATCACACAGGTTTTCAGCAGTATCATTTTTTTCTTCAGTTCTCCAAATTTTTTTTTTTACTTTTTTCATTTTTCTTAAATATTCTGCCGCGCCAACAAAAGATGTGTAATATAAAGGCTCAAGTTTTTTGGGGAAATTCTAATATTTTGATATTTCAGCATAATTTTTTTTTTACTTTTTTCATTTTTCTTAAATATACTGCCGCGCCAACAAAAGATATGAAATATAAAGGCTATTTATTCATGGGAAATTCTAAAATTTCATATTTTATCAAAATGTTTACCTTAATTGCAATGGCTATTTAAAAAGAATCTACTGAATAATTAGGGTTTTAAAAGATAAAGTTTGAAAGTCAATTTTCCCCATGATTCATAAACTAAAATTCAGCATGTATACGTTGTTAAACTGCAATAAGTCATCTGCAGATTTCATTTCTGGGAGCATGGGTATTAAAAAAATAAAGGAAACAGATCTTCACCCTTATAAAACATACTTTAAAAAATAAAGGTCTAATATAACAAATCTCATAACCAATTTCTTTGAACTCAAATTTAGAGAAACTCAAACTTCTATATCACACAGGTTTTCAGCAGTATCATATTTTTATCTTCAGTTCTCCACATTTTTTTTTTTAAACTTTTTTCATTTTTCTTAAATATACTGCCGTGCCAACAAAAGATGTGTAATATAAAGCTATTTATTCATAAATTTCATATTTTATCAAAATTTTTACCTTAATTTCAATGGCTGTTAAAAAAAAACTACTGAATAATTAGGGTTTTAAAAGATAAAGTTGAAAGTTAATTTTTCCAATGATTCATAAACTAAAATTCAGCATGTAGTTTAAAACTGCAATAAGTCATCTGCAGACTTCATTTCTGGGAGCATGTGTATTAAAAAATAAAGGAAATAGATCTTCACCCTTATAAAACATACTTTAAAAAATAAAGGGCTAATATAACAAATCTTATAACCAATTTCTTTGAACTAAAATTTAGAGAAACTCAAACCTCTATATCACACAGGTTTTCAGCAGTATCATATTTTTTTCTTCAGTTCTCTACATTTTTTTTTTTACTTTTTTCATTTTTCTTAAATATACTGCCGCGCCAACAAAAGATGTGTAATATATAGGCTAGAGTTTTTTTCGGGAAATTTTAATATTTTGATATTTCAGCATAATTTTACCTAAATTTTGGTGGTTTCTTAAAAAGAATCTACTGAATAATTAGGGTTTTTAAAGATAAAGTTGAAAGTAAATTTTTCCCATGATTCATAAACTAAAATTCAGCATGTAGTTAAACTGCAATAAGTCATCTGCAGACTTCATTTCTGGGAGCATGTGTATTAAAAAATAAAAGAAATAGATCTTCACCCTTATAAAACATACTTTAAAAAATAAAGGTCTAATATAACAAATCTTATTACCAATTTCTATTAACTCAAATTTAGAGAAACTCAAACCTCTATATCACACAGGTTTTCAGCAGTATCATATTTTTTTCTTCAGTTCTCCACTTTTTTTTTATTACTTTTTTCTTTTAAATATACTGCCGCGCCAACAAAAGATGTGTGATATAAAGGCTAGAGTTTTTTGGGGAAATTCTAATATTTTGATATTTCAGCAAAATATTTTTTTTACTTTTTTCATTTTTCTTAAATATACTGCCGCGCCAACAAAAGATGTGAAATATTTAAAGGCTAGATTCATGGGAAATTCTTAAATTTCATATTTTATCAAAATGTTTACCTTAATTTCAATGGCTGTTTAAAAAGAATCTACTGAATAATTAGGGTTTTAAAAGATAAAGTTAAAAGTAAATTTTTCCCATGATTCATAAACTAAAATTCAGCATGTATACGTAGTTAAACTGCAATAAGTCATCTGCAGACTTCATTTCTGGAAGCATGTGTATTAAAAAATAAAGGAAATAGATCTTCACCCTTATAAAACATGCTTTAAAAAATAAAGGTCTAATATAACAAATCTTATAACCATTTCTTTGAACTCAAATTTAGAGAAACTCAAACCTCTATATCACACCGGTTTTCAGCAGTATCATATTTTTTTCTTCAGTTCTCCACATTTTTTTTTTACTTTTTTCATTTTTCTTGGGGAAATTCTAATATTTTGATATTTCAGCATAATTTCACCTTAATTTTGGTGGCTACTTAAATAGAAAAATAACTCAATAATTAGGGACTTTTTAACGGTAAAGTAGAAAGTTGATTATTCACAGGATTCTGGATGTAGTTAAACTGCAATAAGTCATCTGCAGACTTCATTTCTGGGAACATGTATATTTAGAAAATAAAGGAAATGGATCATCGGCCCTTAAAAACATCCTTTTTTTTTTAAATGTCTAATTTAACCAATCTCATTACCAATATCTTTAAGTCAAATTTAGAGAATCTCAAACCTCTACATCACAAAACACTCAGCAGAACTGTCTTCTCAGTACAACATAAGATCTTCTATCTCAAAAGTTTCATCTACGGCTGTCCCCTCCATTATAGTTCCGCTCTATACCAAAAACATCATCTACAATATAAAAATAATTCAATTATTGAAAGCTTTAGATTTGTAAACTACTGATATAATTGTAATAGGTGCCATATCCAACTTAGGATAAGCATCCGATTCTAAATATCATATAAAGTAAACAATATATGTTTATGCCTATCCATGTTAATAATGACTACACATTTTATAAAAACTTAATTGATCAATTTAAACAGAGTTAAAAGTATATGTCAAGTTTGAAATGATCTCAACACTTACAGATATTTAAACTGTGCTATGATATGAAGAGCCTTCCATATACCAAAGTCAATAAGGGAAATAACACAGGTATTTTTTTTATTTCTAAGGTACTTTATGCTGGTTTCTGCAGTTGGGCCAAGTTTTGCTAAAAAATTTGAGAAACTCATGTGCAATGCTCAGAACCAAAACTCGTAAAAAGTGTTCGAATTGGAGCTGCGAGTCACTTATTGTTATAGAATTATGTCCCTTTCTAACCTGGAAAATTGCACACTAATAGTGACATCAAATGCTCTCAAAAAGTATATTTGCTTAATCATAAACACAAAATATGTGAAAGTTTTGATTGATAAATACTCTTCGTTAGCCACAGACAAGAATAAGTCAGTTTTAGACAAGCGTAATAAGAATAAATATGAAAATCAGAAGAAGTGGTATATTGCCAATGAGACCATTCTCCACTAGAGACCAAGAGACGTAGAAGTTAACAATAAAAGCTATTGGTCACCAAATAGCCTTCAACATTATGACAAATGTAAAACAAAAAATTCAGATGAGAAAACTTACAGCCTGATTTATATGTACAAATTTAACAATAGATGATAAAACAAAATATGATATACAGCAAAAAACAACCACCCCTATATTACAGGCTCCTGACTTGGGACAAGCACATTAAAATGTAGTGGGGTTAAACATGTTTGCTGGCATCCAATCCTCCCACTTACTTAATTGGGACAGTCACGTTTAACAGCATAACATTATTATATTAAGAACAAGCTATAAGTGGTTTAACAGCATAACAAGAACAAACTATAACTAGAGGCTCTTTGTCCCTCACCTTGGGTCTATATGCATATTCAACAAAGGATACTCTCCAACATTGTAGATGAGAATAGAATTAATGACAAAAATCTTGGGGTTTTTTTTGCTGATCAGTGAAGTCTGTTTAATTTCTCTCTATCTAATTTAGCTTTTGCTCCAAACAAATAAGAGGGTAAAAAAAAAATTCCAAATTTAAGGGCAACAACTCCTGTAAAGATTTATAGTCTACTAATTATATCAGCAAAATTTGACTTGTTAGCAAGTCTTGTCTTGCTAATCATTTTTGATTATTTAAGTTTCTATCTATCTATTATAATTTTTATCATATAATGCAAAATGCCAAAAAAATGGTAAAATTTGTCATTAAAGGGCAATCACTCCAATAAGGAGTATTTGGACAACTTCCATCATTCGTCTTAATTGTAGATCTTGTCTTGCTGATCATTTTTTGTTTATATAAGTTTCTTTTTATCTATTAGGGACTACATCAAAAGATCAATGTAGGATAAAAAACTTAAATCAAATAGTTTGGGGGTGGGGTTAAAACTGCTGCAAGTTTTGTTTATCCAAAATCGATTTTACATATATCCATATTGGTGAATCAATTTTTCCCAAATTAAGTTAAGAGGGGTGGGGGTGGGGGGTCAGTGAAAAAACTATGTGAAATAAGTTTTTTATCCTACATTTAACTTTTGATGTCGTCCCTTATAAGTTATAAGATGTAAAACAAAAACGCAAAAAAAATTGTACAAATCGTCATGAAAGGGCGTCAACTCTAATCAGAAGTCAAATGACTATTGCATACTACCCTTCTGATCATTTTTGCAGTTTAAAGTTTCTCTCTGTCTATATAGTTTTCAATATAATAGGCAAATATGAAAAAATTCAAAACAAGAGGCTCTCAAGAGCCTGAATCGCTCATCTGTAATTTTTTGCTTAAATCTTTCATCAATGATTATTTTTGCTTTTCAATATATATTAATGAATGGCTTAAAACTTCCATTGAAATGTTCTAAGTATCTGTCATATTTTCTTCAAAATCAAAGAAATACATTTTACACAGATGTTTCATTTTAGCCACAGTGGCAATGTTTCTTCGACGTACAAGAAAATAAAATACAAAATTTATACTAGATACTCTGAAACTCATTCATCCCAAGTTTGGTTTCAAAGGAGATTTTTTAAAGTAAGCAAACATTATCACTGAACTAGTATACATATTTGTTTAGGGGCCAGCTGAAGGACGCCTCCATGTGCGGGAGTTTCTCGCTGCATTGAAGATGTATTGGTGGCCTTCAGCTGTTGTCTGCTCTATGGTCGGGTTGTTGTCTCTTTGACACATTCCCCATTTCCATTCTCAATTTTTAACTAAATAAATAAATTGTGAAAAATTGATTTTAAAGGCCAATAACTCCTTAAGGGGACAATTGTCAATTTTGGTCATATGAACTTATTTATAGATCTTACTTTGCTGAATATTTTTGCTGTTTACAGTTTATCTTTATCATTAATAATATTCAAGAAAACCAAAATCTGCAAAATTTCCTTAAAATTAACAATTAAATGGCAGCAATCCAACAATGGGTAGTTAGATTCATCTGAAAATTTCAAGGCTGACAGAGCTAGGCCTAATAAACATTTTAACCTCTCTTCAGATTAGCTCTAAATGCTTTGGTTTTTGAGATATAAGCCAAATTATAAAATTGCATGTTTCCCCTACGTTCTATTTTTTGCCATGGCGGCAATGTTTTTTTATGAAACAGAAAATAAAACACAAACTTTCTTCTAGTCACCCTTAGTATCATTCAGCTTAAGTTTGGTTGGAATTGGTAAAGAAGATGATTTTTTTAAAAGTAAGAAAACATGATAAACAAATTGTGTAAAATTGTCCTTAAAGGGCAATAACTCCTTCAGGGGTCAATTGACGATTTTGATCATATAACCTTATTTGTAGATCTTATCTTTCTGAACATTTTTGCTGTTCACAGTTTATCTTGATAATTAATAATATTCAAGATAACCAAAAACTGCAAAATTCCTTAAAATTACCAATTTAATGGCAGCAACCCAACAATGGACTGTTAGATTCATCTGAAAATTTCATGGCTGATAGAACTTGGCCTAATGAACATTTTAACCTCTCATCAGATTTGCTCTATTTGCATAAGTGTTTGAGATATATTAGCCAAAAACTGCATTTTACCCCTATGTTCTAATTTTAGCCATGGCAGCTATGTTTTTTGACAAAACAGAAAATAAAACACAATCTTTATTCTAGAAACCCTAAGGATCATTCAGCTTAAGTTTGGTTGAAATTGGTTCAGTGGTTTCAGAGGAGAAGATTTTTTAAAGTTAGAAAACATGATAAACAAATTGTGTAAAATTGTCCTTAAAGGGCAATAACTCTTTTAAGGGGTCAATTGACAATTTTGGTCATACAAACTCATTTGTAGATCTTACTTTGCTGAACATATTTGCTGGTTACAGTTTATCTTTATTATTAATACTATTCAAGACAATAACCAAAAACTGCAAAATTTACTTAAAATTACCAATTTAGTGACAGCAACCCAACAATGGGTTATTAGATTCATCTGAAATTTCAGGGCTGATAGAACTTCACCTAATGAACTCTTTTACCCAATGTCAGATTTGTTCTAACTCCTTTGGTTTTTAGATATGGGCAATAATTTGGTATTGGGACCGTTTCCGATAACGATAGAAAAGTGATAAAATATTGTATTTTGTTGAGAGAAGTTGTTGCTCCACCATCAAATGCTATTATTTCTATTAAAATATAGGTGCTTTCTAATCTCCCCTAGAGAGAACTTGAAATAAACAAATATTTAAGATTATTCGGCCACTTTTGTATGTCGTTTCTTAGCGTTATTTTC